AACTGTGCACCCAGTTTCGGAGTGACAGAGTTTAAGGACATCCTCTGTACGAGGGGTCGGGGAAAGGGAGTGGCTTTGAGGCATACAGAGGGGCTTGATGAGGCCACCAGAGGAGGCCTCCGCCACCAACATGGGGCCAGTGCCCAGCGTTGGGAAGAGAACATCTCGGGCCGGCATGGTGGCTCACGCCTGTAATCCCAGCACTTTGGGAGGCCGAGGTGGGCTGATCAGTTGAGATCAGGAGTTCAAGACCAGCCTGGCCAACATGGTGAATCCCCATCTCTAGTAAAAATACAAAAATTAGCTGGGCATGGTGGCGGGCGCCTGTGATCCCAGCTACTGAGGCTAAGACAGGAAAATCGCTTGAACCCAGGAGGCGGAGGCTGCAGTGAGCCCAGATTGCGCCACTGCACTCCACCTGCACGCCAGCCTGGGCAAGAGAAGGAAACTCTATCTCAAAAAAAAAAAAAAAAAAAAAAAAAAAAAAAGAGGCGAGGCAATTACAGGCGAGCGCCACCACGCCCGGCTAATTTTTGTATTTTTAGTAGAGGTGGGGTTTCACCACGTTGGGCAGGCTGGTCTTGAACTCCTCAGCTCAGGTGATCCGCCCGCCTCAGCCTCCCAAAGAGCTGGGATTACAGCGTGAGCCGCCATGCCTGGCCAGAAGACCACAATTTTAATTGTTAGTTCCCTTATAAGGATTGTGTATTGTGTGACTCACCCACCAGTTCCTCGAGGGAGTGCCGGGCCTGGCACTTAGTAAGTGCTCAGGAAATATTGGTGGTTTTGCATTTTTTTGTGAGTGAGTCTCTTGCTTTGTTGCCGAGGCCGGTGAGCAGTGGCTCAGTCTCAGCTCACTGCAGCCTTTGCCTCCTGGGTTCAAGCAATTCTCATGCCTCAGCCTCCTGAGTACATGGGACAAGCACCTGCTACCACACCCAGCTAGTTTTTGTAATTTTAGTAGAGACAGGAGTTTCATCTTGTTTCCCAGGCTGGTCTCGAACTCCTGACCTCAGGTGATCTGCCCACCTCGGCCTCCCAAAGTGCTGGGATGACAGGCATTAGCCACCGTGCCCAGCGGATGAAGCGTTTCAAAATGACAGTGTTTGCCTGCTTTCTTTGTTGGGCCAAGTTGGTCTTATCCTTGCAGTGCAGAGTGGAAATCCCACCAGGTGACCTGATTGTGACAAAAAGGGACCCAGAGGCCAAGTCCCAAGCTCACGCCAAGGTTCTGGAAAGAGACTCAAAACACAGGGCCTCCGGGGACAGTCCCAGCCAGGAGTGGGAAGGAGGCCGAACATTAACCGATTCCTGCTTTGGGCCCTGGAGCCTCGGCACAGGTCAATTTTTATAAAGCAATTGACAGCAAGATGTAATTACATGGGCCCTGGGTTCACGGCGGCCCCTCTTAGGAGACTGTGAAGTGTCTGTTAACGACTTTTAGAAGGGAAGATTGGGGACAGGTGTGGTGGCTCACGCCAGTAATCCCAGCACTTTGGGAGGCCGAGGCGGGAGAATCACTTGAACCTGGGAGGTGGAGGTTGCAATGAGCCGAGATCACACCACTGCACTGCAGCCTGGGTGACAGAAGGAGACTCCGTCCCAATTCAGAAATAAAAAGAAGGGTAGACTGGGGAAAACGGGGAAATGGGTGATTCAGGGGTGGTCAGGGCTGAGGTTCCAGCCAAGTTGAACCCAAGATATTTTTTTTAGAAGAAGAATGCCCAGTTCCTCCTGGTTTGGCAAATCAGCCAGAACCTTCCATCCGCTCCTCCATCCTGGCACATACGGCACCCAGAAAGAACCCTGGCTGTGACTAGGGGCCACTGGCCACATTCCTGGCCCCTCAGGGGATTTTGTGTCCAGCCAGCTAAATCCTGAATCACAGCAGATGGGACCAGGGCCGAAGGGAGGACAGATGGAGCCAGGAGGCCTTTCCGATGAGGTCTCCCACACATTCTGGGTTGGGAATAAAGATGTCCCAAGACACTCTGCCCGGGCAGCGGGGGCAGTGTGCCCAGGATGAGAGCACCTCCACCTGAGGCTGAGGACAGAGTGCCAGCTGGATTCTCAGGACGTGGCCGAGGCCAGACCAGGTAGCAGAAGGAAGCAGTACGTGTACCTGGCGAAAGCCAGGCTCTGTCCAACCACCGTCCGCGGTCAGGTGACCCAGGGTGTCCCGTCCTCAAAAAAAATACAAGAGATTCTCGCTTGGTGTATTCTCAAAATACAGCAATAAAATAAAATAAAATAAAACTTCATTGGAATGTAATTCACATACCTTACAGTGAGCTCACGTAAGGTGTACAAATCTGTAAGTCAATGGTTTTTTATGTTATTTTTTCATTGTAATTCCATATATACATATATGTATGTATGTACAACATAAAAGTCACCATTTAGGCCTTTTTTTGTTTTTTGTTTTTAGACTGAGTTTCATTCTTGTTGGTCACTGCAACCTCTGCCTCCCAGATTCAAGTGATTCTCCTGCCTCAGCCTCCCAATTAGCTGGGATTACAGGTAAAGTAGCTCATTAAGAATTTTCTTTTTTTTTTCTTTTGCTCCTTATGTGTATGAGATCATTAATGGTTTTCTACATTAATTACATGTTGAAATAACGCTTTGAATGTATTGGGTGAAATAAAATGCATCATTAAAATTAAATTGGCCAGGTGTGGTGGCTCACACTGAGATCGCATTTGCACTCCAGCCTGGGCAACAAAAGTGAAACTCTGTCTCAAGGAAAAAAAAAAAAAAGCCTAAATGGGCCAGGTGTGATGGCTCACGCCTGTCACCCCACCACTTTGGGTGGCTGAGGCGGGCAGATCACCTGAGGTTAGGAGTTTGAGACCAGCCTGGCCAACATGGTGAAATTGTGTCCTAAAAATACAAAATTTAGCTACCGTGCCTGGCCAATTTAATTTTAATGATACATTTTATTTCTACTTCACATCCTTTCTTTCATCCTAAGAAATAACAATCATATGGAAATTGGTCACCATAAACATGTCTATGTAGGCACTACATTTTCCATGGCGTTGGTGACATAGGTGTCTACCAAAACCATAGTGTTGTGTTTGGTGGGGAAAAAAGTTTTTATTTAGGTCGAGTGTGGTGGCTCACGCCTGTAATCCCAGCACTTTGGGAAGCTGAGGCGGGCAGATCATTTGAGGTCAGGAGTTCAAGACCAGTCTGGCCAACATGGTGAAACCCTGCCTCTACTAAAAATATACAAATTAGCTGGGCATGGTGGCAGCCACCTGTAATCCCAGCTACTCAGGAGGCTGAGGCAAGAGAACCACTTGAACCCGGGAGGCAGAGGTTGCAATAAGCCAAGATCACGCCACTGTACTCCAGCCTAGGCAACAGAGTGAGACTCTGTCTCAAAAATAAGTAAGTAGATAAATAAAATTAGCTGGGCATGGTGGTATGTGCCTGTAGTCCCAGCTACTCCGGAGGCTGAGGTGGGAGGATTGTTTGAGTCTGGGAGGCCGATGCTGTAGTAAGCTGAGATCATGTTTTACTGCACTCCAGCCTGGGTGACAGAGGAAGACACTTTGTTATAAATGTATTATTACTTTTTGAGACACTGTGTTCTAAATTTATTACTGTTATTTTTTTGAGACAATCTCATTCTGTCACCCAGGCTGGAGCTCAGCGATGTGATCTCAGCTCAATTCAAGTGATTCTCCTGCCTCAGCCTCCCAAGTAGCTGGAACTACAGGCACTCACCACCAGGCCTGGTTAATTTTTGTATTTTTAGTAGAGACGGAGTTTCACCACGTTGGCCAGGCTGGTCTCAAGCTCCTCACCTCAGATGATCCACCTGCCTTGGCCTCCCAAAGTGCTGGGATTACAGGCATGAGCCCCCCGACCCAGGCTATAAATTTTCTTTTCTTTTCTTTTCTTTTTTTTTTTTTTGAGACAGTTTCGCTCTTGTTACCCAGGCTGGAGAGCAATGGCGCGATCTCGGCTTACCGCAACCTCCGCCTCGTGGGTTCAAGCAATTCTCCTGCCTCAGCCTCCTGAGTAGCTGGGACTACAGGCACGCGCCACCATGCCCAGCTAATGTTTTGTATTTTTAGTAGAGACGGTGTTTCACCATGTTGACCAGGATGGTCTCGATCTCTTGATCTCGTGATCCACCCGCCTCGGCCTCCCAAAGTGCTGGGATTACAGGCTTGAGCCACCGCGCCCAGCCTATAAATTTTCTTAAATGTACTGTTCAGTTTTTAGATTTACATTTAAAATTGTCAACAGCCCACCCTGGCCTCCAAGCCTCACCCCACCCATCACGAAGCCCGGCTCGGGTTCCCTCCTCCTCCTCCTCCAATCGCTCTCTAAGCCTCTTTGAACGTTTTCCTTTTCAGTCTTCCCAGAACCAGTGCGTCCACTCTGTGTGTCCCGGGCTCTCTCCGGTTCCGTGCTGGGCTCCAGGCCTTCGCCACAAGCTTGCTCCTCCCTCGGGTCCCAGGTCCCCCGACTGCCTGCCTGGTCAGCCCCTGCCGCCTGAGTCTTCACACCTGCCCATTCTCCCTCCTGTCTTTCCCACCTCTCCCCAAGCCCTGGCCTCTCCCCTAGGATAGGGACGGGGTGTCTGAGGGCCAGAGGGGTTATCTTTGAGTGTTTGTTGATTGAAACACCAAGTGAGTAGACAAGCCTAAACCGGCAGCCCTGAGCACTTCCTTTTATTTGCAAACCGCTCAGGTGTCTCACCACGCCAGGCTTTGGCACTGGGTCTTTCCTCATCCAAGGGACACTCTTTCCGTCAACTCCGGCCTTATCTGGAGAACTCTTACATTACCTACAAAACCCAATCCCATTGTACCCTTTCCCTATCAGAGTCATAAATTCAATCCCCAACTCAGGGGCACTGGGGCATTTATTGCAAGCTCTGTCACAAATTATACCAGCTTCTCTCAGGATGCTTGGCCAGGAAGTGGGTGATTGTCCTTAATGACCCTCACTCCTCTCTCCTCTCTTCCCAGCTGTTCTGACCCATGGGCCCCACCACGCCACGATGGCCTTGGCGTCACTGTCTGGCCGGGCTGCTGTTTCAGCTGCTGGTGGCTGTGTGTTTCTTTTCCTACCTGCGTGTGTACCGAGACGATGCCACCGGGTCCCTCATGGCAGTGGCACCTGTCACTGGGGCTCCCAAGAGGTCCTGCTGCCAGGACAGCATGGGGACCCCCACCCATCACATCCCCCTGATCCTGCTGTGGACGTGGCCTTTTAACACACCCATGGCTCTGCCCTGCTGCTCAGAGATGGTGCCCGGCACGGCTGACTGCCACATCACTGCCGACCAAGAGATGTACCCACAGGCAGACGCGGTCATCGTGCACCACCGGGACATCATGTACAACCCCAAGGCCCAGCTCCCGCCTCCCATCAGGCCACCGGGGCAGCGCTGGGTCTGGTTCAGCATGGAGTCCCCCAGCCACTGCTGGCACCTGCAAGCCCTGGACGGACACTTCAACCTCACCATGTCCTACCGCAGCGACTCCGACATCTTCACACCCTACGGCTGGCTGGAGCCGTGGTCCGGTCAGCCTGCCCACCGCCCGCTCAACCTCTCGGCCAAGACCCAGCTGGTGGCCTGGGTGGTGTCCAGCTGGAGGCCACAGTCCGCCAGGGTGCGCTACTACCAGACCCTGCAGGCCCATCTCAAGGTGGACGTGTACGGGAGCTCCCACAAGCCGCTGCCCCAGGGGACCATGATGGAGACGCTGTCCCGGTACAAGTTCTACCTGGCCTTCGAGAACTCCTTGCACCCCGACTACATCACCGAGAAGCTGTGGAGGAACGCCCTGGAGGCCTGGGCCGTGCCCGTGGTGCTGGGCCCCAGCAGGAGCAACTAGGAGAAGTTCCTGCCGCCCGACGCCTTCATCCACGTGGACGATTTCCAGAGCCCCGAGGACCTGGCCCGGTACCTGCAGGGGCTGGACAAGGACCACGCCCGCTACCTGCGCTACTTCCGCTGGCGGGACACGCTGCGGCCTCGCTTCTTCAGCTGGGCACTGGGCTTCTGCCAGGCCTGCCGGAAGCTGCAGCAGGAACCCAGGTACCAGACGGTGCGCAGCATAGCGGCTTGGTTCACCTGAGAGGCCGGCGTGGGGCCTGGGCTGCCGGGGACGGTGCTTTCCCGGGGCCTCACCTGAGTGGGACCTCACCCACCTAGGGACTCACTAGTCTGGGGATTTACCCACCTGGGGCCTTGTCTGCTGGGACCTCATCTACTGGGCTCACTTCCCTGGGGCATCATCTGCCTGGGGCGTCACCTGCCTGGGGCCTCACCTGCCTGGGGCCTCGCCTGCTGGAGGCTTTGGTGGCCGACATATTATTTACCTGGGATTTCACATGCCAACCTTCACGGCTGCCAGGAGCCTGCCTTGCTGGGGACCTTGCCTGCTGGAGGCAGCACCTAGAAGATCTCGCCTGTCGGGACTTGACCTGCTGGGGTCCAGCTCCCAGGGACCTTGCCACACTGAATCTCGCCTGCTGGGGACCTCACCCTGGAAGGCACTGGGCCCTGGGAACTGGCACCCTTGAAGCCTTGCCCCGGGCGGTGGTGCTGGCTGGTTGACCTGTGGTTCTACTCTGTTTGTAACCACCCATGAGAGGTACAGACAGACAGTGCTTTACCTTTTTTTTTTTTTTTTTTTTTTTTTTTTTGAGACGGAGTTTTGCTCTTGTTACCCAGGCTGGAGTGCAATGGCGCGATCTCGGCTCACCGCAACCTCCGCCTCCTGGGTTTAGGCAATTCTCCTGCCTCAGCCTCCTGAGGAGCTGGGATTACAGGCACGTGCCACCATGCCCAGCTAATTTTTTGTATTTTTAGTAGAGACGGGGTTTCACCATGTTGACCAGGATGGTCTCGATCTCTTGACCTCGTGATCCACCCGCCTCGGCCTCCCAAAGTGCTGGGATTACAGGCTTGGGCCACCGTGCCCGGCCCGCTTTACCATTTTTAGACAAGAATGCTTCGAGGAAAACTCCTATGTCCCTCACTCGTGAGGGGTGCTCACGCGGGCGATTCTGCCCCCAAGGGCACTTGGCAATGTCCAGAGACATTTCCAGTTGTCACAACCAGGAAAGCAGGATGAGGTCACTTAGTGGGCAGAGGCCAGGACTACGATGCACAGGTCGGGGTTCCATAACCGACAACAATGGTTCCAAATATCCAGGGGCAGAAAACACTGTTCTAGAACTTTCTATGGCCCTAGAGGTCAAGCCCCTTGGTTGGGGTAGGTGGAGGTCAGATCCCTCGGGGGTCCTCTCCTCCAGCTGGCTTCCGAGAGCGGGCTCTGGCATGCACCCAGAAGTGAAAGTCGGTTTTCTGAAGATCTCGGATCAAGAACTCCAAAGTCAGATAAGCCCTGCATAGAGCCCTGCTCCACCACTTAGGGGGCACAAGTGGGTTCTGAGTGTAAATGAGGACTTCTGGAACATTCCAGAACATTCTGAAATATTCTGGGCTTGGGGGAAAATTGCTGCTCTCTGGAGAATATCAAGGGGGACCTGGTGTTGGAAGGTGGTGGTGAATCCCAGGTGCTCTGTGAGCCTCAGTTTCCCCATTTGCACAGTGGACATGCAGGCTCCAAGGGTTGAGTGGGGCCCATGCTCTCCAGAGGTGAAGTTGGGCAAGACTGTGATAAAGGGACCCTCTCTGGCCCAGGGCACAGGGCACAAGGGCGTGCATGTGTTTCCTGAGTTGTGCAGGGCAGGTCGGGGAGGAGAAGCGTCCCCTGAGGAGGAGGTCAAAGGGTATGTGTGTGACTGTCAGCAGGGGTATGCACATGGCTGGGGGGACACTCGGTATGACCATCAGCAGGTCGGTGTCACGAACGCATCACTGTGGGCGTGACCTCGGCGTGACTCTGGTAGTGCCTGCGGATGTGTCGCCATGCCCACCCATGGCTATGTGGGTGTTCGTGGGTGGTGGTGATTCCCAGTGCGAGATGGACTGTGTGTCCCTGGGAATGAGGCTTTGAGTGTTAGATGGCGTGGGGGCCCCTCTCTGAGTGTGTGGGCCTCTCTGAGTCTGTGTGTGTCTCTATGTGACCATGCAAGGCTGTGTCTCCATGGACCTGTGTCCTTGGATGTGGTGAAGTGGGCTGTGTGCGGCCACATATGGGGCTCTAAGCTGTGTCTGCCAGTGGCTGTGACCGTGTGTGTGGCCTTGTGGATGAGCAGGGAGAGGTATGATTCTTAAAAGTATTAGAGGCCGGGCGCGGTGGCTCATGCCTGTAATCCCAGCACTTTGGGAGGCCGAGGCAGGCGGATCACCTGAGGTCAGGAGTTCGAGACCAGCCTGAACAACATGGAAAAACCCCATTTCTACTAAAAATACAAAATTAGCCGGGCATGGTGGTACATGCCTATAATCCCAGCTACTTGGGAGGCTGAGGCAGGAGAATCACTTGAACCTGGGAGGCAGAGGTTGTGGTGAGCCAAGATCGTGCCATTGCACTCTAGCCTCGGTGACAGCGCAAAACTCCACCTCAAAAAAAAAATAAAAAAGTATTAGGGGAGGGGAAACTGAGGCCCACAGAGGGCCAGGGACCCAGGCCAATCATTCCTCCCTGCAGGGGGTATGCAGAGACCCTGCAGGATGTTGGGAAGATCAGTGTGACCTCAGCCTCCTGAAGAAGGTGCGGACAGTGGCTCCACTCTGCAGAGGAGGTGGCTGAGGCCCAGAGAAGTTGAGGAACTCACCCAAGGGCTTACAGCTGCCAGAAGTAAAAGTCAGATCTCAGGTCAAGAACTCCAAAGTCAGGTAAGCCCTGCACAGAGCCCTGCTCCACCAGTTAGGGGCTGCATGTGGCTTCTGACTGTAAATGAGGACTTCCAGAACATTCTGCGCTTGGGAGAAATTGCTGCTCTGTAGAGAATGCCAAGGGGGACCTGGTGGTAGAGGGTGGTGATGAATCCCAGGTGCTCTCAGAGCCTCAGTTTCCCCATCTGCACAGCAGACATGCAGAGGTGCCTGTGATGCCTCCCTGAGGCCCAGGTGGGACGGTGGAGAGGAATACAGTGGGAGGGTGTGGGGGGTCTGGAGAGTCTCTGCCAAGCCCCCTGGTGACCCCGGGCCTGAGCCAGCCACGCAGGGCCCATCACTCACCTGCCACCCACACCACACACCTGGGCCCCTCTCCCCACTGCCTGGCTGCAAGCCAGAGGTCCCAGGAAGGGATCAGGACCCTCAGGAGTCCAGGCCAGGGCTTCCTAAGAGGCTGGAACAGGGCCAGTCCCCAGGGGAAGAGGTGTGGGGACAGGTTGCTGTGTCCCCTGGCACCCCTGGAGCCCCCGTGGTCACCACCTCTACCTGAACTCATGTCAGAATGAATAGCTCCCTTTTCCAACTTCTCTTTCTCTCCCTCTGGAATTTCCTCTGAGGCTTAGAGGGACATGGAAACCCTCCTTGGTTCCCACAAGGGCAGAGGCCCAGCTACCTGGCCAACACTGGGGGACCCAGGCCTGCCCTCTGTGGAACCCGGGCACCGCCCCAAACCCCCATTGCCTCCCGCCTACCTCAGATCTCACGTGTGGTTCACGGTGCACCCAGCCCAGCCTGTGGGCCTTCTCCCTCCTCCTGAGCTGCAGCTGCCCTTGGCTCCCAGCCCTGAGGCCCCAAGGGGAGAGAAATTTCCAGCAGGCTGGCAGCTCCATCACCCACCCAGCCCAGTCGGAGGGAGGACTGGGGATCCGATGAGGGCAGAGACGCCAGTGAGGAGGTCCTCATGATACCCTACTCCGGGCTCTTGGACAGGGAGGTCCCACCCAGCACCGGCCTGGTGAGGGCCAGGAAATCTCTCAGGTCACACAGCAATGTCAGGACAAGCACACACTATCTCTCGCAATGGGCTGCAGCTCCTCTTCTAGATCTTAGTGGCCAGAGGCTGGTCCAGCTGTGGATCTGATGGCCAAGGGGCCTGGGTGGGAATCCCAACCCCCAGCCCCAGCCCTCCAGACTCCTGGCTACATGAACAAGGCAGACTGGGGTTGGATGTCCCAGGAGGAGGGAACCAGTACAAGGGACACAAGATGGGATTCGGGGTGAGGGCCAGTCTGAGGGTGGGCCATGAGCTGCCAGGGCGGATCTCCGGGACAGGGCAGGAGCTCCGTGGGTGACAGTGCCAGTGTGGGAATGACCACATGCGAGTGGGGTGCGGTAACCTCACCAGGAATCTCTGTCTTCTGCCCTGCTCTATCAAAAGAGCATGTGGCTGGGCGCGGTGGCTCACTCCTGTAATCCCAGCACCTTGGAAGGCTGAGGTGGATGGATCACTTGAGGTCAGGAGTTCCAGACCAGGCTGGCCAACATGGTAAAACCCTGTCTCTACTAAAAATACAAAAATTAGCCAGGCGTGGTGGCGTGTGCCTGTAGTCCCAGCTACTTGGGAGGCTGAGGCAGGAGGATTACTTGAACCTGGGAGGCAAAGATTGCAGTGAGCCGAGATCAGGCCACTGAACTCCAGCCTGGGACACAGAGCGAGACTCTGTCTTAAAAAAAAAAAAAAAGGCTGGGTGAGGTGGCTCATGTCTGTAATCCCAGCACTTTGGGAGGCCAAGGCAGGTAGATCACGAGGTCAGGAGTTTGAGACCAGCCTGGCCAACATGGTAAAACCCTGCCTCAACTAAAAATACAAAAATTAGTTGGGCATAGTGGTGCGTACCTGTAATCCCAGCTACTCAGGAGGCTGAGGCAGAATCATTTGATTCATTCTTCCGGGAAGCTGAAGGTTGCAGTGAGCTGGGATTGTGCCACTACACTCCAGGCTGGGCAACAGAGCAAGACTCTGTCTCATAAAAACAAAAAAACAAAAAAAAAAAAACCACATGAGATTCATTTCCAGTCCCTGCGGAGGGATAGGACACGCTGGGAAGGGCAGGTGTGGTTAAATTGACCGGGATTCCTTACTGCCCCAATAAAGCATTTACCAACCTCTGCTTCCTTGTTGTTGGGGCTAGGCGGAGTCTGGGTTCAGGTGTGATTGGAGCTCAGCCTGGAGTATGGCCTCAGCCCCCAGGAGCACCATTGTCTCAGCCAGCCCAGTCCTACAGCCCCCCACTGCCTGGTGATCACACCTGTGGAAGGGCGGGGCCCTGTGGGCCTCCACCAGAGACCTGTCCCTGGGTTTCTCACTCCACCTTCCTTCATCTCTTGCTCTTCTAGGTTTTCTGTTCCCCAGGCCAGAAGGGGAAAGAAGGGACACAGTGTGGCCTGAGCTAGGATCGGGGAGACAGAGGCAGCTGGAGGAGCCAGTGAAAGGGACTGGTCAGGCTGGGAGGGCAGGAGAACCCCTCTCGGGGGAGGCTCCCTGGAGGAGCTATCTGCACCAAGCCCTGAGGGTGGCTGGGAATTAGGCAGGAGGCA